ACATTCTTGTCAGTGATGTCAACATGGTAAATTGTACCAATGTCAAAGATAATTAGAAAACAACTTTTCTTTTCCACAGCCTTTTATCTTCTATTTTACTTGTCTGGCATTTATTTTCTCCTTTCCGGCCGCCTCCCTCCCTGGATGCACCACCGTGACTCAGTATTTGCTGGTATATCTTACCCATCTCTGTATGTGCAATGACTCCCTATCTTTTTTGTAACCAGCATTGGTCCAGATATTGCTTTCACAGGCAGTTTGAGGAAGATTTGGTCTTATCTCTATTTTTGTATTTATATATTAGGCTTCAAAAAATATACTCTTTCGCCCTTTTTTCCCCCCGTCTTTTCAATGATGGTCAAGTTTCACCTTTTTGACAGCACCTGCGCATAAACTCTGTTGGACGTGATACGATCCCAGTCGTTTGACGGACTGGCACGTTCAGCCTTCCTACAAGTGAAGCACCTTTGTTTGACACAGGTTCAGCCCGATCTGCCTGCCCCCAGACCCCCTCTTCTCCAAACTGTCTTTTGTGCTGCGGCCAGGGAGCAAGGGGAGATATTAAAATGCAACTCTGGTCATGCCGGTCACCTGTGTGTGTGTCATGGCCCCAGGCGACAGAAAGAATACACTTCCAGCTGCCATTCACAGCTCTCACTCTGCCCCAAGCTCGTCTCCTCCTGTTCTCTCTCCCATGCTCGTCTCTGTCCCAGCCGTAACACGTTTCCTCTTTCTAAGGCCTCACGGCTCTTACCTCTTCCTGGAATGCCCTTTACCGATTATTCTAGAAAGTACTGCTGCAGTCCAGTTCAGTGCCTGGCACTGTGTTAAAGGTAGTGCACGAGCGTGGTGAGAACCATCAGCCCGGTTCCTCCCCTCACAGAGCTACGGGCTCCTGGGGAAGACAGTGAAAGACTCAGTTACAACAGGGTAAGTAGAAGTGGCTGTGGGAGCGCAGAGGAGTCTCCAGCTTTGACTTTGATATCCAGGGACTGCTTTCCAGGGAAAGTGATGACCAGAGTGAGACCCAAAGGACAAGCAGGGAGCGAGCTTGGCCTTCTTTCCCTTATCACCTGGTGGCTTCCCATTCCCCCTCCAAGTCTGTCCAGGCAGCGGAGGTTACCTCCTGCTCTGAGTGCTAGCTCAGTAGGTTGTACATTACGGTCTTCTTAGCCATGGATTGCATTTATTTGCCTCTCTGTCCTGTCTTAGACTATGAGCCTCTTGAACACAGAGTCCACTTATTTTTTATATCCTTGTGCGACGTGTTTGGTGCATAGCAAGTGCCTGCTTAAATTTCAGTGGAATTTGGTTCCCAGACCCTGCTCTCCTGCACAACACCTTTTCTGGTCCTGGCCTCGCTCCATGCTTTCCCAACCCCCTTCTCCGGCCAAGCCTTCTTCAGTTGCCCTGCTCCCAGAATCCTCTTCTGATTCTTCTATCACTCGGTCCCTACACCCTTGTCAGCACTCAGATGGCCTCGGCTCCTGTGTGCTTTCATCTTTTCAGGGGCTACCAGGACAACCCCTTTCATTCTGCAAAACAGAATGACAGACAAATAGCACCTGCTAAGAGGTGTCTATTGAAGGTGATAAGTGCTCTGAATAGCATATCTCCTCCAAAATGTGTGCCTGGGACAGGTGGGTTTTCTTATGGTGGAATAAAATTTTTACTAAGAAAATGAGAGCTGTACATCCCAGTTGGCTTTCTTATTTACACTGGCTTCCAGGAGGAAATTTGGATTTAAGTTCAAGTTGGCAACTCCCTTTACATATGTTTCTGGTAGAATTATTTCCTTCCTTCACCTGGATGTGTTCTAACTATTCCTCTGAATTAAAAAAGCTCACTTAACTTGAAGTGTTCATTAAATGTCAGGAAACATGTAATTACATTAGAAGAAAAATTTAGCGTATAACTATATTTTCATATGGGATTATACTGTACCTCCTTTTTCCTCAAATTTAAATTATGGTTCTACTGCAAGTTATCAAAATCCTTATTTCAAGAAGTATGTTAACATCTTCAGTTTTTCCTTTCTTCCTCTCCTTTGCTTATTTTTCTTTCTCATAAAGGAGGCTGAATTGGTTGAAACATGCCATTTAGTTTGAGCTGTACTAGAGATGGTTCACTCAAACCAAAAGAAAGGAAGGGGTGGGAGGAAAAAGGAGGCCATGGTTGGGGAAGGGAGGGGACTTACTTCCTGAACACTGATGGTTCTAGCCACCCCATCCACAGTATTCTCAAGTAATGAGATTTCAATTTTATTAACGAGGTAAGAAGCTCACAGTGGTTAAATGACTTGCCCAAGATTTTATTTCTTTGTTCGGAGAAGTCCAACAAATTCAGTTTATGATCTCATTTCATTGTCATTTCCTAAAATCTCCTGTCCCTCCTCTCTTCCTGATTTTAGTGAAAAACAGCTCTTTTATCTGCTTACTCATTCCAGAAACTCAGGAGCCATGTGCATTCTCAAACTATCACTTGAGAGGCTGCTAATCCTGCCTCTTTAATACTTTTCCTCTCCTTCTCTTTCCCATTGCTTGTACCAGAGTGTGGGCTCCGTGGTTCTGGCTTGGGACCATTTCCATCACCTAATATCTTCGCTTTCAGCTTCTCCCACTCCAGTCTTTCCCCCACGTGGGTGTTTTGTCGTTGTGATATTTCCAAGTGGCAAATCTGACAACATCCCTCATCTGAGTGCATTCTCTTGCCCTCAAGTAAAAGTCCCTTGCCAGCTATGTCAGGATTTTCAGCATCTGTGCCCTGCCTCCTCTGCAGTCCTCTCTCCCTTATGCATCCTACAGACCAGCCACATCGAGTGACTTACAGGTCTGTGAAGAGTCAGTCACGGGTCTTCATGCGTCCACGCCCTCTACACTTTGCTCTGCCTGGAGGGTTCATCTCTTAGCTGGTGAACATATGCTGTCTTTTGAGACCCAACTCAAAGTTCTAGTCCTTTCTTGTTTTCCTTTGTCCCATTATCAAACGTGTTGAGTGCGACCCTTTTCTAGTTCTCTACCCTATACATATTTATATACTGTTTACCACACTGTGCTGTAATTATTTGGTTTTATGTTTCACTAACTTATTTGATTATAACTTTCCTGATTTCATAGATCTTGTTCATCATTTTGCACAATTTAGATTTACATATTTTTTTCTTGTTGCATTCCTAGTGTTCAGCGGTGAGCATGTTTTTGATTATGGTGTGGGTATTTTATTTCCTTCAAGTTAAAGGTTTATGTTAATTGCAAAATATTGCATAACAACAACAAAATAGAGGAAAGGTATGTATGTCATTGGGACACCTGCTGAGTTCATTGTAAGAGCAGGGGGCAGGACATGCCTTATTTGAGAATTGGAAGATGGTTTAGGATGGATGTGCAAATAGACTCAAGAAACATTCAACCTGGCACTTTTTCCTTTGTAATGACTGGTAGGTTTTCTTACCCTTAGAAGTAGCTGAGTTGGAGGGGGCCAATTAATTACCTTTCCCCCTATAGGTTCTGAATAAAAAACCAGACAGGATTAAAATATCAGCAGATTCAAATGCAATGCTCAGTTTTGTTTCAGGTAAAGCCAAACTGGAGAACGCAGCATAGATCTGGTGACAAAATCGACTTCCTACGTCACTGCTCCGCTGGCTCTCCGGATTGGTCCCGGCTGGGAAACCAGAGGCAGCAGGAGCTGAGCTGGAGGGTAAGGCCCGCTATCTGGGAAGCCTTGGCAGCTGAGACACACGAGATGAGCTGTCCAAATCTGGATAGCAAGCCAGCACCACACTGCTGCAAAATGAAGGAGTGATGTCACACTCTCCAGATGTCACCCGTCCATAGAGGGAGGGTCCAGGGAGAGGGAGGAGAAGGCTGTCTTCATCGTCTGGAAAGGGTTAGTTTCTGTTTAATGCACCAAAGCACGAGTGCCAAAAGAGAGAGTGGCTGGTTCTTCCCAGTGAGTGTTATAGGACAGATCAGTCTCTTAAACCCAGAGTCCCAGGACCTCAGATACTTTGACCCAAAGAATTTCCCTTTCAAGAACAGATCTGGAACTCTGAAGTAAAGAACAGTATGATTCTGTCTACTCTCTTTTACCTAACATTTGTCATTTTATCATGATGATGGCTAGATCAAGAAGTGCTCCCAACAAGAACATATGGGTTAATGTCATTAAATCTTAATGATAAAGGACGCATTGACTCGACAGTCAGGTGTGAGTGCTCTGATGGGAAGCATAATCGCCTGTGAATTACTATGGATTATAAAGGATTTTTTTTCCCTGCAATTTATGGAGGGCTCTGGACCATGGGTCATCTTAACTCAAAAGTCAGTCGGTAACTGCACATCTTGATGATGCTCCAGAGCAGTGACCTGAAGGCATCAAGCACTTCTGCGGCGAGTCCAGAGTAGCTTGTGCTGCATTTGCATGCCTGGACCTTTCTGACTTCCCTCGCAGCCTTCCGAGTTTATGATTCAGATACGCCTCCGGTGGAACTGACCTCAGAAGAATCCTTTGCTGGGCTCTGACCCGTATCTTATTAATTCGTAGTTAGATTTATTTTGTTTTTGACTGAATTTATTTCTGCTCCACCGGCCTGCATTCTTTTCCGTGGCTAAATGTGCTCTCTCAAAGTATAACGTATTTAATTTGGTCAGTTCTGTACATCATATAATGGCAAGGGAGAAGAAAAGAAAAGGGGAACGTCCGAGTCGGGAGGCAACGGTGCAAAATAAATAGTCATATTTTCACGTAGTGGGTCTGATTTTCTCCGTGAGTTGAGATGGTCTTCTTAGAAGTAACATGCTTTACTGATGCTCAGAGTCTCTGGTGACCTATAGCAGTGGCTGAGTCCCCTAAGCCAGGGCTTTTGAAAAGCTCCTGTGCACGCCAATCCCCTGATTCTGCAGGGCTGGGGCGGGGCCAAAGACGTTTCTAACAAGCTCACTAGTGATGCTAAGGACCGAGCAACAAGCACCTAAGTCACCAAATCAAAACACCAGCTCTCCAACTCATCACAATTCATTTTATTCCACAGCATGTATAAGGGAATGTTATTCTCAGGAAGATGTTTAGGATTAAAATAATTAAAAAAAAACCTTGAAAGTACACACATTTATGTATCTCTTCTTTTCATTAAATATATATCTGTTTGGCAAAAAAATGTTAGACTCTTTTGTACAAAAACAAAGCAAAAAAAAAACACCAAAAAACAAAAAAACAACCAACCCCCAAACCCTTGCAAATTGTCAATACTTGTAATAATTACAATGATGTAAACTTGGATGTCTGACAGCTTGACCATCCTGCGGGGCCTGTGTTATAGCAGAACCCCCAGGAGAAGGTAACACCAAACCCGTCGAGAGGGGCCGCCTGCCACAGAGGCGTTTCGGTTTAGTATATTAGAGATGGGGATGACGACTGATTTCACCATTTGTGCTTTCACCTAAGGGGCTGGAAGGGTGTGAGGCGTGAAGAAGGCAGGTGTGGGCTGGGGCAGAGAGAGGACACCCAAGACTAGCTGGCGAGGAAAGAAGGTTGGGCACGCTCACAGTGCAGACGTGAAATGGCATTGGACCTGGGACTGGGTCCGGAGACCCGGTGCGGTCCACGGCTAGAACGAGGTTTCTGCTGCTGCCCTTGGAACCAGAGAGGACCAGCACAAGGCAAAGGCCTGCACGGAGGACGGAAAAGACCTGAAAGCAGATTTCGAGTCACAGGGAACTGGTGGTGTGAGCGGACTCTGGAGAGAAGGGGAATGAGGAGGCGGTGTTTGGTCTTCTCCAGCAGCTAGGCTGTTTCTTCCAGACACAAGCACTGGGGCAGTCCCTTCGGTCTGACGGGCAGGTTTTGGGGCAGTCTGGTGCTGCCGGCTTGCACCCTCCAGGGAGGGAGGACGGGCCTGCTGGGGAGGGGGGTGAGGACGGAAGGGCCCTTTGGCTCTCTTATTGGCGGTGGGTTTTGCTCTGCTCCCATCGGTAGACTGCAGCAGTGGGAAGTGACCTAAAGCAATGGAGTCTAGAAACAGAATCAGGGCAGTGAGCAAGACGCCAGGTAGGGGTAGAAGAATGCTGGGGCTAGAGGCGAGGCCAAAGACAGTGTTGACCCACAGCTTCTCTGCACCGCGAGAGGGTTCCGAGGCGTGGGTGTGTTTTCATTCTTCTCTCCCGCTAGCTAGATTTTCCAGTTTTGGAGGGGGCGCTTCTGGGCCCGGCCACTTCAGTTACAGTCATAGACGAAGTCATAGTTGCTGGGCTCCTTGGGGATGGGGGGAGGTGCGTCAGGGATCTGAATGTTTTCCAGGTCGAGGAGGCGGAGCTTGATTTCCATGCTGAGCAGGGTGTCCAAGTCATTCCGGGTCAGCTCACTCATCATGTCTTTCCCCAGCAGTGCATTCAGCCCGTCCGTCCAGATACAGTACTGGTGGAAAAGGAGGTGACAAGGGTAATTACTGATGACAATGACAAGAGTAGTGACAGTGGTTAACAATGACCATGCAACGTGTGCTGGGCTCTGTGCTAAGTGCTCTGCCTACATCACCATTTAATAAAGTTGACACTGCTGGTATCATCTCTGTTCTGCAGATGAGAGAACCGAGGCGCTGAGAGGCCGAGGAACTTGGTAGCGTGTGGAGTGGGTGGGACTGGAACTCAGGCAGTCTAACTCTAGTGCACCTGCACTCTTCTGTGCAAATAATGCCTTCTTATGTAACAGTAGGAGGATCTGAGTTCTGCATGACCTTGCAACGTCATACCTTCAACATCCTACCAGTGAGTCTGCTTTTAAGCTATTGGTAGTATATATCCCAACATGCCCAGACTCAGCATTAGGTCGAGGCTGCTTCTTCCCTGACTCCAAGCACGGTTCCTAGTCTAGTGGCTAATCTCTGCCTCTCCTCTCTGATTCCTAACACTCACAACGTTAGCCCACTCTTACCCGGGAGCCAATCATAGTCCCACCTTGGCATTTCTCAGCAAAGGGCTAGGAAATAACGTTCTGCTGCCCAGTGTCTGGTGGACAAAATGGCTACAACTGTTGGCTGATCTTCATGGGAGGTGGGCTGGCTGCCTGTCTCTTCTCCTTGAGTCTCTAGTTTCCAGGTTTTTTCTCCTTCGGGTCTGGGAAGCCTGGTTCCTGGGGACATAGCCGATCTTGGAAAGTCTTCCAGAGCAGCCAACTAAGAATTTGGTTCTTCCTTTCTCATTAAAATTGACCATGCCTTTTGTTTCTCCAGTAGACTGTGAACTCCTTGAAGAAAGAAACTCTACCTTGTTTATCTGAGGACCTGATTTGCTCTTGTCATCCTCCCTCCCAGAGGCTGTAGCCCTGGGACTTGTACTAGAGCCAAGATACCTGGTGGCTGAACTAGCTTCTGATGTCAGCATCTGAGAAAACCGTCTGCATTCTGGAAGCTGTGCTCCGCTCGCCTTTTAGTATATCCTAGTCCTCTGTAGGACCTCTGTGATAGCAATTGCTCTGTTCTTACTGTCAGACTAGTCTTCCTTCTCGAATGGGCTCTAGATTACCCCCTCTTCTGCCCTCACTGGGTCAAGTTACAATTCCAGACCCTATACTTAGCCTGTCCTTTGCACTGTGCTTACCTGGAATATAACAGCAGATCTCAACATAAAATGTACCATAGGACTGCAAGCACTTTACAAATCTTAAGCCACAGTGATCTGGAAATCTCACCCTGATGCACATCTCAGGCACCCCTTTTTAAGCTGAGGAGATGCACCATAGGTGTATTATGAGGGTGTATGTCTGGGTAGTGCGGCCCTGAACTATAGAACTTTGCCTTGGCTGAGTGATCTCTGCCAAAGTGTCTGACCCATCTAAACACCAGCTAAGTGCTAAGAGACATCTGGAAGTATTCATGTCCTCATGAATCCCTCAGACAGATTCTGAACTCATTGAAACATTCCTTTCCACATAAATAACCTTCATAAAAATAGATACAAAGGTCCTACCCTGGAGATCCTGATCTTGTAGATCTTGGGTGAGTAAATTTTACTTAGAAAAGCTTCCAGTTAATTCTGATATACTTCCAGATATGGGGGCCACTGAACTCCATGTGCTCTGAGGCCCCTTCCAGCTCTAACACTGTTTGACTGTAAATCCCTAAGCCCTGGGCTTACTGCTTCTTGTACAACAATCCCGGTCCTGGCCAGCTTCCTAGTACGGATTAATCTGACCCACAGGAACACTTCTGTGGTGCCTTTCTTTTGAGAAGCAGCAGGTACAGAAAATTTTATTAAAGAGTGCATCAACCAATAAATAAAAACTCGGACTGAATCTGAGTGGAAAGTATCAAAATGAACTTACAGTGTATTTTACCTTTAAAGAAATAATGTAACTCCCAGTCTGCCCATAAAAAGGCCTAAAAATAATGACCAACCAAGTAATAGCAAGCACACCTAATGCCCAGATTCTGGTTGCTAAATACCATTTTCTACCAAAAGGGACCATGGTTCCACAGAGAAAAGGCAGGAAACATGCAAGATGAGCCAGACATATTTTGTCATAGCAGAATGACTGAAGGTTGTCAAAGACATCTGGGGTCATGTCAATAGGACTCAGAAACCAACCAGAAGGTGTTTCTACTTTCTCTAGATAGGATTAATATGGACACTGATAATGACAATCGCTGCAACCCATTAAAACACAAATATGTTTAAATCCATTACTTCATAATGATACTCCAACACCAAAACCACCTCGTTGTTCTCATTTGGAAGATGCGCATTATTTGGAAGACTGACAAGAAAAGTCAAGTATTTAGCCTGCTTGTTACATATAAACTGTGTAACCTCAAATATGAGGCCCGTTTCCCGCTAATAAATGAAGAAGGGATGACTGAATTGAGATACCAACCTTTCCAATGTCTAACAGGTCCAAGAATCCTGGCAAAAATCATCAATGGCTGCTAACATCCCCCAGAGAGACAACCAGACACCACGGAAGAATGCAACACCACTGTTGCTTAAAGTTGAGCCTCAATTAGATGAATCCTCTAACTGCCACGGAATACGAAATACGGGAGACAGATAACCATGTGAAATAACAGCACATGTTATGGTAGGCAGAAGAATACCCTCCTTTTAAGGGAGATCACGTCCTGGAGCCTGTGAGTATGTTAGGGTGCACGGCAAAGGGAATTAAAATTGCTAATCAGCTGACCAGCAAATAGGAAGGTCCTCTGGGATTGTCCAGGTGGGGGTAATGTAATCACCAGGGTCCTTAAAAGTGGAAGAGGGAAACAGGATAGGAGTGAGCGAGAGAAGGGAGAAAGAAGGCGAGTTTTGACTACGGAGGAGGAGGAGGTCAGTGTGGAGACTCAACCGCCACGGTTGTGGGTGAATGGAGGCTGTGGCCAAGGGATGCCGGTGGCCTCCAGAAGTGCAAAGGGGGAGGAAACAAATTTTCCCCTAGAACCTCCAGAAAGGAATTCAGCCCTGCCAGTACTTTGATTTTAGCCCAGAAAAGACCTGCATCAGACTTCTGACCTCCGGAATTCATGTTGTTTTAAGCCACTAAATGTGTGGTAATTTGTGGAAGCAGCCACAGTAAACTAATACAGATAATTATAATCAGCAAAATCTAGACTCTCAGCAAGGTTATCAGACAGATGACCTGGGTTTTTCAATGAATAAATTGCAAGGAAAAAAAAGCATAAGCAGATGCTCCCAAGAGAGGGAGGGAGAGAGAGAGAGAGAGAGAGAGAGGGAGAAAGGAAGAAACCTATAGATTCAAGGAAACTGAAGAAACATGTTGACCAATTGCTATGCATGGATCTTATTTGGATTCTGATCTGAACAAAGTATAAAAGAAATAAAACACACAATGGAGACAAGTGGAGAAGTCTGAAAACTGACTACAGATGGTAGTATCAAAATGTTAAAAAATCAGCTGTGATAATGGTATTGTAGTTGGTTTCAAAATGGATGCCATTATTTAGAGATGCACACAGGAATATTTACAAATACACGATGTATCTGGATTTGCCTTGCTAGGAATCTGGAGGGGGGCAACTGGGCATGGGTGTGGGTGTGGGTATAGATGGGTCCACTTTGGCCCTGAGGTGATTAACTGCTGACACTGGGGGATGGGCACAGGCAGGAAGCTGGGAGGTCGGGTCCTGCTTCCTGCCTCCCTAGCAACACAGTGCAGGGGTCAAGGAGACAGGGTTCCTGGAGCAAGGCTCCGTGGTTTCAATTCCAGCTCTGTTACTACTGGTTTGACCTTGGACAGGCTTCTTAACCTCTTTGTGACTCATTTCCCTCCTTTATCAAATGGGCATAATAGTTTGTTTCTCTCAGAGGTATAATGAAGATTAAGTGAGGTGAAGTACATAAGACACGGGATGGTGCCTGGCACAGAGAAATCCAGGCTAGTTGCAATTACTATTATCTTTGCAAATGTTGAGGTATTCGATTTTGAGAGGCCTCTCTCCTTCATTTGATGAAGATATCTGTAATAGGACTTCCTATTTTATTGAGTGATTATGCAAATAAAATGAGGTAATACATATGAAAGAGATCTGAAGAAATTAAGTGTTCACAAGTGTATGGCATTTTTCTCCTCACCGTATCAATAAAAGGTGGCAGTTGCAAATAAAAATTTGGCAGTCTGAGAACATTTGTCCTTATCTGGAATTAATGCATCCTGGGAAAATACAGCCTTGCATAGATTTAAGTAACATCCACAGTTCTACTTTCTAAAGTAGTTTTCCATACAGCTGTATACTTCTTAAATACGATGGCCTGCCTGTGTATAACCACAATTTTATTTAAAAAGAGAAGCAGTAGGCCTCAGTATCTATTTTCAGAAAGATGAAGACAAAGTCATACCCTTTTGCAAACTAAATGTCAAGTTACACAGAATTACACTTAAGCACCATTCTAAATGCAGGATTTGCATCTAATCTTTCCTCTCTCTTTGGGATGTACAATTTTATTCAAAAGCTTTAAAAAACCAGTGAAAAGCAGATACTGAATAACTTCTAAATGAGCAGAGTCTCCTCGGGGAAACGGGAAACAAAAGTCAGATTCTATTAAAATGTTCCCTTCCTTTCTAAAAGCCGTTTATGCAACCACACGTAAAACAAAAATTTGAATGGTATCGTCTAAAAATAACAGTTTCGAGCGTAATGTTGGGCTCCTGTTTACAAGAGAACGAGTTACATCAACCATATAGCTGCTATTTCACCTTACAAATACATTTTCCTAGATCTATGCTAAATATTTTAATTATAGCTGACAAGCGTGCTTCAAGGAGAAAAACAAATTATACCTATAACGAGATGTCAAAAAGGAATAAAATCACCTCAAAAATAAAATTACAACAGCAGAGACAGCCCTAGATCTCTTAAAATAACTTAAGGAAACATGGTAGAAAACCTACTTCATCAAATGTTTTAAAGAACAGAGACAAGTTTATCTTGGGAAGACTGTGACTAAAAATTCAATGCTCGATGAAAACCAAAGCTTCATCAGGGCTGATTCTTCCTCGGGGTTGACAGTTATGCCCTTGTTGAGTATGAAGCATTTGTTCATTCTCTTTCATTACCATGAACTCTTGGTCAAGCTAGTAAGAGGCTGAATCTGTGATAACTGGTGGTTTTTAAAAAAGTTTCCATTCTATACCAAATCAACGAGATGTTCCTTTGTTCATGATTTTTCTTAGGCAGGCTTTTTTTTTTTTTTTAAATGAAATTTCTTTCCAATATTTCTCTCTTGCTTGTTTTTCTAGGAAAAAAAAAAAGTGACACTGTCTCACAAATTAACCCCACTGAGACCCTTACCTCGTGCTTGTCAGGAGCTATGAAGTTCAGCTGGCAGTTTGAGTCATACAAGATGGAGAAAGCAAGTTCAAGCACCTCCTACAAGGGATCAGAGAAAACACCACAGTGAGGAAAAAGGGGCACATTCGTTCTGCAGTTATAAATGGCTGCGGACTGAACATGGAGTGAGTGCAGACATGGGGGCAGCAGTGAGGCTGATGGGAGGAAGGGGCGTTTTGTTTTTTTTTTTTTAAATCAAGGTTCACAGCACATACCCTTCTGTTTAGGGGAGGGTCTGCATGAACCAGCTCATTTAATTTTCAAGATAGTCCTTGTAGCAAGTGTGATCATTCCTCTTTTAGGGGAAGGAGCTTGGAGAAGTTAAATCATTGTCCAAAGCCATATAACCCCAAAGCCATGATACTCTTCTTTCTTCAGCTCCTCCCTTCCAGGTCCAGGGAGACCTGAGAAATCGTAAACTTTTCCCCAACCAGCAGATTAAGGGCTGCTCAATCTTTGATCACCCCCAAACAGACAGATGTCCATAGAGGTATGAACTTCCTAAAATATGGAAGCTACATGGGAGCCAACGAGGCTTGTGGATGAACTCATTATCTTTAGGTCCTTTAATCTTTGAAGTACTGTAGAGCAAAGGCTACATAAAACTTAGGTGTTATCCAGAGGCTGCAGAGTATAAAGGAGAAGCAAGGGCTGTATGACCTTGGCTGAGACACTAACTGTCATGTCTAATATGTATGTTAAAATACACTTCTCAAATTATATGTGCTGTACATTATTGGGTACAATGATTATTCTATTGGTTTGAGCAGTTAGTGGGATACAAACTTTAGAAGACAGTCATGGCACATCTCAACACCTTAAAAGCTCCTAATCTGGAGGGAAAGGGCCAAGTGTACCCATATTGGTGCTCTGCATTGTTACAACACACACATACTGCATAATTTCCTAAGAGGGCAGATCTTTCCACATCATTCTCTGCTTACTATTTGTCAGAGGATTTGCCTTTGGCCAGTAACTCACAGCAAGAATGCCCCAGAAAGAAGATGGAAGGCAAACAGATGAGGTCAGTGCCTCCAGATTTCAGAATTTCAAATGGGTTAAAGAATTCTTGCCAAGTGAACACTTGAAGGCCTAGCATTAGCTGGATGTCTCTCCTGACACAGTCAACCATCCGGCTATTTGGGCTCTCGTGGGGTTCGTCTGTGTCTGACTTGCCTCCAGCTGTCCCCTCATTAAGAGGGAGCAGCTCTTATTCTGGGCCTAGACCTACTGGTGTCTCAAGCTCTTACAGCCTCCTCACCCTGCCAGAAATAGGAGCAAGTGAAGGAAAGAATGCCGAGTCAGGAATGGGAGCTATTCTGCAAACTACCTCTCTCCTCATTTTCATTACTTCTTCCTTGGGCCTCTATTCAGGCCTGCCCAGTGGAGATCAATAATACTAAAAAAAGAGTTCACCAAAACAAACAAAAACATTTTTTTTTCTATTAAGTTTAGCATCTCTCTTGGGTCTTTTAGTTTGTCATGGGCCCTACTAGTGGCATCATAAATTGGTGTCACCTTTAAAAAAAGCAAAAACAGTCAGGCAATCCATATCAAGAACCAGGGATCCCATTACTGGGATTATTCCTAAAAAATCAAAAAGCAAGCAAATGCCATATACATTGTTACCTATAAGAATATAACATGAGAACTAAATAAATGTCTTCCCCAATTTGGGTAAACCATTAAAGAAATCACAAATTAGCAGAGAAATATATTCAGCCAGCCACTGAGTACGATAGTTATGAAGATCTGATCTTAAGTGAAAAGAAGCAGGAGAAATGAACATTATTTACATACTGATCACAATTATGAACAATGTCTACCTGTGGACAGAGACTGGAGGCAAATAAGGTGAAATGAAAATAATTATGTTAAGGGGCTGGGATCAGAGGTGATTATTTTTTTCTTTTAAAAAATGTAAAACTTTTTTCAATAAAATGTTAAGCTCTGATCTCATTAATTCATAAAGATTGTTTTTAGATTAGGAACATTGATATAAATGATGATTTCATACTAATCTCAGTGTCATTCATTAGGAAAACTGACTCCTGCTTGAGAGATTGGGGAGAAAGGAGAGGATGGGCTTTGCTGTGAATGACCAGTCAGTATATGGTGACAGCCCTAGGTGACCTTTGGAGGTCACTAGGAAAAGGTGAAATTCACGAACGGATTTCTGGGTTGACGCTGGACAACTGGCACTCTGCTGAGGCAGTCACATGGCTCATCCCCTTGTTAATGACAGCTAGGGTGAACACAACCAGAGCCCAGATGCAGCCTCTTGACTAGGTGCTGAGGTCAGCTGAGGCCAGAGTGTCAATGTGGCTGTCCTTGTGACACTTTCTCTTCTGCAGAGGCACATAGAAGGAAGAGAAAGGAGGGAGCCTGCCAACTTTGGGTTTTGCCCTCCTAAGGCGCAAACCAATGAGGACGTGAAGGAGCGGAGTCGTCATGACCTAGATTCCTGATAAACACAGGCAGGAAATGGGAAATTCGTGAGAATGTCAATCCCCACTTTCATTTCACCAAAGCTGCCTGGGAGGGGTGGGAGGAATTAATTCTCTGATCCACATGCCTGCATTAAAGGCTGCTATCGCCTATAATGAGTTTTATTGACGTCCCTGGCTTGTTGTCATTGAGTCACTGGTGGAGGTCAGCTCTTCAAGGCTACAGAGCTGGGAGCGATGGCACCTCTCAGACTAACACTCCAGAAGCTGCCACCTGTCCAAACCGTCTGTGAGGGATAGAGGTGCCAGGAGGTGGTAGAAGAGGGGTCATGGATCTGGGGCAGTGTCCCCCTCAGGGGCTTCGTCACACTCCACAGCATTCAGACATCTGATGCTCTGGGGCTTTGCTACTCACGACCTAAGGTCCTTTATTCCCTCTGGATTTAATTCCATGAAAAATAATGTTCAGGAGCTCCTATTTTCATTCTCTATTCCATTAATTTACATCTCTCAGCATGTGGAGGAAGGCCCGGGATGGGTGAGTTCTGGGGATAGAGGAGGCAGGAGAATCTGAATATCCCACCCCTCAACCATGCCCTGGGGCCTCTGACCCCATCCTCAACTCTTGGGCCTGCGTGCAGTGACAAGGCATGCTGGGTCAGGAGAGGCTCAGAGAAACTCTAGACATGGATGGTGCTTTGTTTTGGGGACTGCCATTTTCCAGCAGGCAAATGTCAGATTGAATACAAGAGTAGAGTTTTATGCAACATATTTTCAGTATTCAGCGCTGGCTGCCATTCCTTATATTGTTTTGGGGTGACACGTCTCATTTGGCCATTTTTCCCAGCATTCCCTTGAACTATGTTGGTTCTCCACCATCTATTCAGGTTGTCTGGAGGGCAAAGACATAGGATATAACTTGGCATGTGAGTGTGCTGAATATGGCCATAGGCATAGCAGTAGATTTCATAGCTAAAATACACTGCTGCTCATCTATAGATCTATGAGTTTGAGTTTCTATTTTAGAAGGCAAAAATTACTCATTCATGTAGTACATAATAATAGAGGCGGCTATAACTTTCTGGCCCCAATCTGTCTTAACATTATCAGCCAATAGTTCTCCAACCCATTTTCTTCTCTCGGTCCTCTGTCTCTCTGGTCTTTTGTCTCTCAGTCCTGTACTCTGAATTCAATGTTTCTCAATCAGAGGATGTTCTTTCATATGTTGGAAGGACCCTGTGCCTTTTCACATACTCTCTCCTCTTTCTAGAAAGTCTTCCTCTCGCTTAGCAATTCCTTTTCAAAACCCAGCTCAGACATCATTGCCCCTGGGAGTCTTTCTCAAGTCTCCTGGGCTCTCCCTGTATTTAAATGTCCCAGAGTTTTGTAGTGAAAAGAAGAAAAAAAGAAAAAATAAGAAAAAAAGAAAAAAGAGCCATATGTAGTGAAAAGAAGAGCCATATGCACCCCAATGTTCATAGCAGCAATGTCCGCAATAGCCAAACTGTGGAAGGAGCTGAGATGCCCTTCAACAGATGAATAGATAAAGAAGTTGTGGTCCATATATACAATGGAATATTATTCAGCCATCAGAAAGGATGAATACCCAACCTTTACATCAATATGGATGGGACTGGAGGAGATTATGCTAAGTGAAATAAGTC